GAAAAATGAAAAGATGAAAAAAATAGATATAGGTCATAATAATTAATATATATATAGTATATATATATATATATATATATATATATATATATATACATATAATATATGTATATATCTTATTTAATTTTATGCTAATTTATATTATTTTTTAAAATTTTATTAATTTTATTTTGCATATTATTTTGTTATTGCCATTATTAATATGCAATTGCTATTTTAAACAACGAAAAACATTTATATGATGTAAAAAGTATATACATATAATATATGTATATATCTTATTTAATTTTATGCTAATTTATATTATTTTTTAACTGCAATAAAATTTTATTTTGCATATTATTTTGTTATTGCCATTATTAATATGCAATTGCTATTTTAAACAACGAAAAACATTTATATGATATTGGCAATGTAAAAAGCAATACTCCTACCTGTAAAGCGTCCACCATGAGATCCTTAAGTTCGTCGAGGCAACGATTTATACGCGCTCGTCTCTTCCTCTCCAAAAGCGGCTTCGTTATCTAGTGTTAAACACACGTTGTATTTTATTAATCAATATTCCGCGACAGCTGCGTCGAACGTTCGCACACCGGCCATGCAGAAACTTTGGCACCTCGATCTTGCATCTCTCATCGCGTGTCTTCGATCATCAATTGCTAATTTACTACATAATCGAGACACGAAGGCGGGAATTGAACGTCGAAATGTCAGGAACATAAGTGATAATCGAGAAACGCGCAGCGATTTCTTTTTATCGTTCTGTCTTCGTATTAATTCACGAAAGAAACCTTCGATTTATAATGAACAGAGATACGTCAAAAATAAAGTTTCTTTATTTTGCCGCGCGATGCCGAGATAGACGAGCGATAATTTAACATCAATTAGCGATTGATATCCCCGCATTGATTTCTTATCGGTGCCACCTGTCGAATGATCGTAAAAAAAGAATAAAATCTTGATTGCGATGAAAGACGCAAGATCTAAAAAAAAGTGTGCCTGATTTAAGGACTTTGTCAATTATATAGCAAATGCCTGACTATCGATTTGTCGAATGCTGAGTATCGCAAGAAATAAAATCATTAAAGAATGCGTAAATTATTATATATGCTCTTTGCATACATCTAAAACTTTGCAATTTTATCTTTATCAATGTATCAATGTTACCACATAACACGAATTAATTAGCAGTCACCAAACCGCATCGATAAATAATCGTCTACCGCTAGCGAAAAAAAAAATTTCTGTATATCACCGGCAATTAATAAATGCGAACATCAGCTCGGAGTGAAACGCGTGGTACGCAGCTACGCAAACTTGTTACATAATCACTCGTGGGCTACATATGTAAATAAATATCAACTTTTTTAAGCCGCGTGTAATTATGCGTAAATATATTTTTTTAATTCACAATATAGTTATATGAAGAGAATAATGTATTTCTCACAGTTAATTATTCAAGCTTATTTCTGTATTGATTGCGATACCTTCTTGTATTGATACGTTCTCGAGACTGGATGAGGATAATCGTACGACATCATTGCAGGTGAGGAAGATATAGATCCAGTAAGTAAATAAAAAACTGCAAAAGAGGGGATTAACAATAATGAATAGAATTGAATAAAATATAAAAGTGAGAGATCTCTTTGATATAAAATCACAAAGTAGGACTAGCTGTAGAGCTTAAACGCTAATTATGCAATAGGTATAAAATAATTTATAAATGCAAATATTGCCAAAAATAATAAAAAATGCAAATATATAACAAATGTCTTCTTTATCTGCTTACAATATTTAATAAATACTATAATAAATACAAAATAAATAATATCTTCTAAATTCCGTATTCTATATAGAAATAAATAATGTAATATCTAATTACAAAATATAACAGTTACAATCTCTCATCAGAGAAGTTAAATATATTTAGTTAAACTGGATATCTCTCTCGCGATAAAATATATGATAAAAATTTTATTTTGCCAACAGCCAATAAATTTATTTGATGAATAAAACACATGAACGTCATTAGCAGCGCACCGAACGATCAACCGGTGCAATTTAGAAAGCCATCAAATAAATCCGAGAGCCGACGGTTGGAAATTGACATTCACACTTTGACCATGCAAAATATTCGTCTCTCAAATTAATATTATAATCGATACAAAGATACTATCCGCATTTTTAGAAATTTTATGCGTGTGAATTAGCTTCTTCGTAGAGTTAAGGATAAATAAATAATTTCCAAAATAAATAATTTTATACGAAAAGTATAACACACAAAGAAAAATATATACAAATAATATACAAAAAAGAAAAAAAAAAATTAAGTAAAAAATGTACCTTTGTTAAAACTGGCAATTCCAATAGCAGTCTGTAATAATTGTCATTTAAAATGTCAAAAATTACATTTAAAGACACTCTACCGAATAAAATCTATAGAATGATTAATTGCACACAGGAACGATGCAGCACGTTGACGTGTCTTGTCAATTTTCCTCAAACAGTTGAATTATAACGCAAATCGATCTGTCTCACGGCGTCTCGCCGTGACATTTTACATTTCACGTATCAAGATTTAAATGAATAAAATAGCGGATAACGTGTGTATTCCGACGACACGCCGAGTGAGTTGACAGGTCGAGACGGGCTGACATTAGACACAGAGGCGGGTGCACTTGGTGGAGTCTCTACACCAACTGACTCGATGCTCTTCGCTGCCATTCCGACACAGGCTACCCTCACCCAGCTTGGAACCCTCCGGAGAAGCTACTTTGGATAGGAAGGTCGCTCCAAATGCTTCACGGTGTTGCACTCACTCATACACGCGCGCAGACGATACTTATATACGGGCTGACAAAACACGCGGGCCGACTCTCCCTCTGTGCATGTTACTATAATTAAAGTCAATATTGCCAAATCGGTCCTGTCAAATTTTACCACGAAAATCGTTAAAAGTTTTTTTCCGTATATATTTTAATCTGAAATTTGTCAGAAAAATTATCATAAATTATAATCTTTTACATAATAAATCGCAAAAAAACAAAAAAAAATAAATATTTGATTTTTACCATTGTCACTTATTGATTAATTTCGATTTTGTTTATTGGCCGGTCGAGATATACCACGAATTAGAACAGTTAGGAGTTATTGTTTAAGTTACGCCGTACGCGATAATTAATACCGTGCGTGGCAAATAAGATTGAATTACCAATTTTACACGCGCGTCTGTGGCACACACTCGCGTCGAATTTGTTTGCAAAATATTAGCAACCGTGCCGAGTTTGCAATGCGTTCGCGGTAACACGAGCCATCGTATTCAGTGAAAGCAAGCAACGTTCAATCAGAATGCCATTACCACATATCCGTCGATAATGTTGCGGGATTATAACCGTGGCACGTTTGGCGCTTCTGTGTAACGCGATCGTGTTACATTCGTCAATATTTCTTTTCTCTTCTGACAGATACTTGATTGCAAGCTCCGCTGTTTCCCGATAAAACCTCTCTAACATGATTTCTTCTATAAATTTATTAATGGAGGGAAGACGCGAGGAAAAGTGTGCGTACTGAATTGTAATTAGGGAAATGGCTCAAGGAAATGACGATCATACTGCAGGTTGTAATTTCTCTTACATAGCTTTTCCCGAGTTCCTGTATAATCGTATACTAAATTGTCTGGACATAAAGTTTGAATAATAATTTCGTAAAACTTCAACATTGAACTGTAATTACCGTGTCTCGATCATTTTCAAGTGTCGTGTCCGCTTCACCGGTTACATCGGCAATAACGTCTTTTTTATCAATCAGCGCACACTGCTAATTAATATAAGGCAAAAACCGCCGACGTAAACATCGTATATGCGGCAAAAATATTGTAAAGAGTAATACATGCTTGTGATGATAACGCGAATCCGAATGAATCGTTGGCTATAATTATGTCTTGCGACTCGAAAATTATTGCATGCCTAAATTATAAAATTATAAAATTGCAATGATCTCTTCATTAGCATCCAACTCGTTGTCTTAATGTGGCTATGAAAACAACCGGTTTTATTATGCAAAAAATGCCACTTAATCAGGATATATCGAGGAAAAGAAGAAAAAAAACTGGAATTTAGATCGTACTAAAAATAACTAATTGACGATTATTTGCGAGAAGAATATATTTAAATATTGGTAAAAATCAGTAAAACAATAATAGAAAAATGTAAAATAATCGGAGCATTAAAAAAAAAAAAAAAAAAAAACACGAAAGAATAGATTTATAAGAAGATTCCAGACACTCAAGATAAATTATTTAAAATCGCTCTCTTGCAATAATACTTTATCACACTTGTGATGCTTTGTAATCAGTAATTAAGAATGATATTTCATTGATGAACGTCGATCGTGTTTTGTGCCGTGTGACGTTCCACCTCGTCGACGCTGAAAAGGCAGCATTGTTGAAGTTTCAAGAGACGCGTCACGTCCTCAAGATTTCGGCGGCCTCACTCAAGATGATAAGCCAAAACTCATTAAGATTATCTATGTGTACTGGAGCTGCGCCAGATGCTCAGGAACTGCAGACACACCGTGTCGACTGCATTTGCACTTGGCGCTTCTTTCTGGAACTTGCCTTGTCGCTCATGTCAACGGGGAATTTTTATAGAGACGACCGTCGTCATGTTCTGGATTACATTGGACGATTAGCTTCACGATGACGCTAGAAGAGTCCTCTCTCTTTCTCCCGAATAGAAGAGTTTCTGTTACAGATAAACGAATACTTCACACGTCGAAGTATGTCGTGAAACTTTTCGAAGCCATGTGTTCTACCGATATTGAAAAGTGAAAATTAAGCTGCATGCGCATTAAAATTAATTTGAAAATCATCGATTCGGCAATATTCTATTTTTTGTAAAAAATATTGCATAAATTTTTACGAGATACACTAATACATACAATGGATAATAAATCATTATTATATATATTAACGCTCGTAAAATAATTTTATTCAATTCTATTACATCGCCGCTGTGCCTCATATGTCTTTGCCCCTTAAGACGTATAATCATCGATCTGTTTCCTTCTACGACAGAGCGATAGTTGGTGTGTACGGATTGTATCCGGTGCTGTCATTCACGAGACGTGCAGACGAAACGCGTCCGTCTCTTCGGCGTGCTTTCATTGACGCCACCGACGTATTAAAATCCGACACTCCTCGTAAACATTCGCACGCTTCGCGTAGCGGCCCGTGATACGGCATAAGCGATAACCGCGGTCCGATAACGATGCGACGATATTGCACGGGCGGTTTCAACATCGGGTGACATCAACTAATTATTGTTTTCCTTCCTGGTATTCCAGCCGACTAACAGCTCGCTCCTTCTTCCTCTCTTCCTCGCTTGTCAGTAGACCGACAGACATACGAGAACTGTGAGACTCGTGCGACGAACACGAAGCGCGATGATCGATGAGGAGGAATAAATAAAAACTTCCGCGCACGGGCTCTGAAGCCCAAGAGCTTCTTCGAAGAGTATATAGTAGACGTATCATCCTATCCGACAAGTAAGTGACCAAACGAAAGATGGAGGTAGATTGGGTCAAACTGAATCGAAAAGTCCTGAACCATTTTTTTTCTAATGCTTAATAAAGGAGTTATTATTGTTTAAGTCTGTCCAACCTTTAGCCGCGCGCCTGGTAGTGTGCGTGAGCGCTCCGTCGCTACGGCGACGCACACTATCAGGCGGGCGGCTTATTGACGTGCGTCCGGCTAAAAGTCGACGCTGATAGGCCAGACTTCACTCAATAATAACATTTTTATTAAGCGTTATAGAAAAAAAGGGTACAGGACTTTTCTTTTCAGTTTGACCGAATCTACTTCCACCTTTCGTTTGGTCACTTCCTTGTCGGACACTCTGTATAAAAGAAATGACGCCTGATTAAATTTTTTAAAAAATTCAAAAAAAAAATTTACTTTTAAATAAATAAAATAATCTTTTTAGATAAAAAAAATACTAATAATATTTGAGACACTTTATATACGGAAAACACACACGTCCTATATATATGTGTGTGTAATCGTATCTGTATGCATTTAATTCCTACACTATAAAAAATTGTCTAAAAATTCAAGCACATTTTTGCTTGAATTTTCAGATCTAGATTTCTGAAAGAAATTTCAGACAAAATCTATTTTAATCATCAGAATCATTCTTCTAAAAAGTTCAGAAGATTTTGTCTGAAAATTGAATTGTTTCTGAAAATACAGACAGTATGTCCGCGTAAAAGCTAGACACTGTCTAAAGTTTTAGACAATTTTTTTTACGGTGTGCGTAAACTTTCTTTGAGACGCAGTATACTTTCGAAAGGATCAAAGCTCTCGCTGCACGCAATAATTATGGCCCTCAAATGAAGCAGATACAAATTTCTTTCCCAAGATACTCTTCGTCTTTCCGAAATTACGAGTGATTACCCGCTGCCCGGCAAAATCAGCTTCCATGATACTTCCGCCGCGCGTTTCTCAGCCTCATTTCCCACGCACGTGGTGCAAACTTGTGATGCACCCTCGCCCGCCCCGCTCGCCGATTTACGATCGCCGATCCGCGGTCTTCTTCGCGTGCACGTAAAAAGAGGTAGCTCGCTTTGCCTCCCCCTTTCTCTTTTTTTTTTTTTTTAAGTTTATTACGGTTGATTGGCGAGGCCAGGACCCCGCACGATGCTTTGCGGCACGAACGATGCATGGCACCCTTTCTCGCTCAAGATAAAGCGTCGAGGCGGCGAAAAGGGCGAGGTACGAGGCGGATGGAGAAAGTGCCCAACAAGTGAAAACATTTCGAAAATGCATTTGCAAATCTTCAGCTGAAGACCAAAAGTCGTCGTGAAAGCCGGTCAAAAGATAAAATAATCAAGCTTGTTTACAAGAGAGCGAGATATTTGGTTGGATAAGAGAGGTGTGTTGAGAGAGGAAAATATCAAAGTGTTGGCGAAAGTTGGCCAAGAAGGAAGCAACGTGCCAAATAAGCATTCACATATCAGCTGTGTAATTTTAATCTACGTGAAATATAATAGTCCTATTGCTTATTTGTTTCATTTGACTTAAGAAATTTTATTATTATTAAATTTGCATTAGCTCCGCTTTCTAGAAAATTATTTTTCGTAATGTATCATATATATCTCAAAATTCACTATGATAATATTTGTTCTCCTTAAATTGTTCTCTCAATATACCTATGTTATATATACATATGTGTATATCTGCTTATACAACGCATTTCTGCTATTTTCAAAGGTATTAGATTTGTACTTTTAATAAGCAGTTTGTTTTTTCTTTTTTTCATCATTCAAAAATATCGGAATATATTAAATATATAAAAAAAAAAAAACAGAAATATTATGAGAGTCACATAATGAATAAACCTCTTTGCGAAAATCTTAACTTTCTTGTATCTTCCAATATAGCGCAATAAAAAATCGCGGAACCCCTGCGAGGTAAACTTACCGTAATAAAAAAAACAAGACAGAAGTGCGAAGTCACCGCGAGCGAGCGGGACCCGTCGCGGTAGCAGCGGAGTCTCGAGAAAAAGAGACGGAAACACGAGAAGGAGACCGACGGCGCGGGAACAGCAGCAAGAAGAGGAGGCGGAAAAGGAGGATGAAGAAGAAGAAGAAGAGGAAGAGGAGGAGGAGAAGGAAAAGGAGGGAGGGAGGTAGCGCCGAGGATGAAAAAAACGCGGTTTGTGTTCACGGCTCGGGCGGCTCGGACGTGTGCGAGTCGCGTGTGAGGCTCGCGCCTGTCGTTGTCTCTGTCACGAGCACGGGCCCGGGCGGCGGGCCCCGGCTCCTCGGGCCCGCACTGTTGCGGTCTCTGTTGGGCCCCGTGCCGGCTGAAGGGCCCGTGTGGGACGCGATGCCTCGCCTCGTTCTCACGGTAGCCTCCAACGAAGGGGCCCCCTTTTGCTCGTTTCCTCTCCTGCTTCCCCCTCTCCTCGCCCCGTCGTCGCCGCCAACATCGGGGCTCTGCCTTCTCTCCTCAC